AATTTTTTTTTTTTTAACGTGTTTGCCGCAAAGTCATTATTAAACAATTTCTGTGGGTGACTGAACCCAAGGACAATGAGCGAACCCCCGTGGTGAATGCAAATTACTGTTTACAATTGCAAATATAACCACGGCGTATTCGAGTATAAGTGCGATAAGCCTCACAGAATCGCGATATCCGCGCGTTGGCAACGCGCTATATTTAGAGGTGTACGAATGAATAAACCAAATTTTTTGATCGAATTCAAGGTTTGTTTTGAAAGAAAGAAAAACAAATTTCAAAATATTCGTTTTACACAACGTTGCTTTTTTGCAACTTTAAAACATCTTTCGAATTTGTTTGTGAATTCCATTTGGAAAAATGCTGTGTCTTTGAACCTGATGAGAAGTCGTCAATTTAATTTCTGATCTCATTTAATGAAATTGGAAGTGCAGCCGGCATATCGAACGAGTAACAATCGGAAGGAAACTATGTCCGAATACGCAGGATGCGGCCAAAATTTATTAAACGGTGTCTTTTGTCTCAGAAGCAATGTGTGACGTCGTGCGGGAATTTTATCAAACGTTTTCCTTTGTCAACAAGCGAACGTTTTTGTTTTTCAATTCCCGACTCAAGCGGATTAATTGACATTGGAGCGGTTCGTAGTAACTGTTTCACCCGATTCCAACGGAACTCGTAACAAATCGCGCCCTTGATACTCTATCAAATGCAGAACGGGACTTTCTCTCAAAAACGTTTGGGCTTAGCGACCGATGGATTCTCGCCGGAATCATTCACTCGTGACTTTTCGCGTTTCGGATTGTCATAGAATATCCATTTTTTGTTATTCTAACAATTTTTCGCAAAAAAAAACTTTCTACGGTACTTATTAAGAAAAACAAGATACACCTCTACTTGTTGGTTTTTGTTGGCTTTGGTGAGTTCATGCGGAACTCATTTGGTTTCTTTTTGAAATCTTTTCTATGTCGCGTATGTATTTAGAAATGATTTGCTACTCCCAACTGCTCCCACAAGCTCCTTTTGCGCCGAATTCTCAGCGGAGCAGTTGCTCCAAATCATTCGTTCTTCCAAGAACACCTTTCCAGCGCGTTGGTTGTAGATCAGAAATCACAGAATCTTTTAAGCCGCTTAAACCAAAATGCGCGCACACGTCGCACAACGACCTCGCTTTCGCCGAGAACAAAAAAAAAACAAATCGATTCACACGTGCTTTTGCATTTTTTCTTTGTTGAAAATCGTAAAAAAAAAAAATACAATGTCGAATATGCATTTTATCTGTTGCCACGTTTAACGCTGTCGAACCTGTGTTATATACTTTTTAAAATAATATTTGACCTTTCGCCAAACTAAATGTTATTTTTAATATTCAACAACATCGCGTAAATCGTAAAAACAGCAGAAACGTTAATTGATTCTAAATTATTGTTTTGACTGCTTAACAAAATTTGGATTATTTATTTATACACCTCTTGAAACGTTATCATTCGATAAATTTATATTCGAATAACACTGCAAGTTTACGTCTAAGTAATAAATAATAATTTTTAAACGGGGATACAAACCAATTAAATTTCAGTACAATTGAAGGCTTACTCTGATTTATCTACGTTGTGCGCGCGCGGCGCGATTTGAAAAGTCTCTTTTGATACGTCCTGTACAAAAAGAAAAAAATCTACACCGTGGAACGTGGTGTTGGGAAAGGCATTCCCGGCATTAAAAAAAAGATACAAAAACGTAACCTGTTACTTATGGGACTGAAAAAAAAAAGAGATAAAGAAACTGGCAGAAGAGGCACAAGATAAAAAAAAGATTTCTGTTGTAAATCTCTTCGATTCGTGCTCGTGCTAAATATAGAACTGAGATTTAACCCAGGCTTTAAGGGTCCAGCGAGTTTAGAGAAGATAAAATGACCAAATCATCGTTATATTGAATAGGGCGAAGTACGAACGCGCGCGATAGTTCATTTGAGGTTAATCTTTCGTCATTAAAATTCCAAGATATTGATCTTTGACGCTCGAATGTGTCAAAATGATTTTCTCTCTCTCTGTTTCATATCAAATCTATTTTAAAAACTGTAACCGGTTTTACACACAAAGTATTTTCGCAGCATTTAACGGATTAGATTTTCTGAACAAGTACTGTCGCAATGTGTTCGAACGACCACGCGCGACGCCAATATATCGCTTCTCGTGTGCGGCCGTGATATTGTACGTTCAGCTAACGGTAAGTCAATATTACTTCAAGTGTGCGAATACGGTACCAGGTTTTACTCGCGGAAATTCCTTCATAAACCTACTTACCGAAAGATCCCGGAATCGCGAGTTAATCGTACGGAATTGATGTGCGAAGTCGTTAAAATTAACCGCCCAAGTGCTTTATACAAGTCTGAAACGACGACGAAGGCTCGGTTTTAACGAGGCTCGCGGTCGCGCGATGAGGAATTCGAGTCTCGAATACGCTTTCGATATAAAGCAGAATTTGCGCTTTCGTTTGCAATCGATCGCGAAGAACAAAGTAGAAATTTACTTGTATACTGATCGGCATGTAAGACCGGTAGCGCGCCGACGAGTGACGTGGTTTATCACCTCAACCTTGCTCCACTTATGAACGAGTTCGCGGAGGAAATTCTATCTCGCGCGTGTGTAATAATATAGGCTCTCCAATATTTGAATATGTGTATGCACGCTTCAGACTTAACCTTCTGCTAAACTCTCCTCACAAAATATATATCTCCGTTTAATACCGTTCTCTCACTTTTTCAATCGCTCATGTTTGCATATACGCGAAAAAAAAATTTTGCTCGTAATATAAAATTTATATGTTGAATTTTTTGTCTCGCCAATAATATCTTGGCAAAACAAATTGGCGGAACAAGAAACAAACAATTTTTTTTCCGCGTGCAAGCGTGACATTTTCACTAAATTTCACTTTGTATCTGCGAAATTCGCGTGTGATTAACAAAATGTAGAACGTAGATGTGACCCGGTATGATTGTTTTAAAAAAAAACTTTCTTTTTTCTCCTTTTTTCTTCGCAGAATTTTCGAAAAAATTCGTTATTATTTCGGCAACTCTAGCGAATCCATACCGATGTCGTTCGTGTTGGGATTCTACGTGAGCCTTGTTGTGAAAAGATGGTGGGAGCAGTACAAGCTTCTGCCCTGGCCGGATAATCTGGCCCTCTTCATCAGCGCCGCCATTCCTGGAAACGTAAGTAAAAACTTGCTCGTCCGCAGAAGTTTTCTTTCTTAAGTTTCCGCCGTGATTAAAAACAAAAACAAAAAAAATAACAACAGTAACAATTATTTTTCCGTGAACAAACGTTTCTCTCATCCGCGAATAAAATTGTCGACTATCTAAAGAATTTTAGTCTTTTTTTTTTTTTTTTTTTACAAAACGGAGTAATGAGTTTTTTTGTCTTGCGAAGAAAGACTTTTACGATGACGTTAATAGATGCGACTTAGCTTTTGGATGGTCGTGTTGCCTTCGCGTCTCATTACGCTAATGAATTGCCGTGACACGTTTCGATGTCGTTAACCTAAGTAAGGTGCCAATCCAGTCACGCCACGCCCAGAAGCGAAAAAATGTGCGGGACGATGATCCTGTAATTAGCGGTCGGTGGCAGATTCACTTTTTTGTTCTTTCACGTCGCCGACGTGCATGCGCGAGATAAGAGCGTAAAGGTTTTTTCTTTTTTTTAACCATGGCGTCTCTCTCTCTTATTTGTGCACCAGAAAACCTTGACACACATTTTTGCCCTACTCGTATTTATAATTAGTGATAACCGTAATTTGTTTTTTTAGCGATAAGAGTTTTGCGAAGCGATAGCAATTGTAACAATATGCAACGTGTACGTACACACACAACGCTTGAATATAATATTCACACGTATTCGCAAAATGTCAAAAATATCCAATACAATACATCTTTAATAATTTTACAAATTTTTAAACAAATTTTTCTATTATTTTTCATTTTATTTTTACTCGATATAAATTCTTTTTTGAAACGTATAAGTCGACAGTTTGATCGTTGACTTATTTTCTTTGCCAACGTGCCTATCGAAAGCGAACAATCTTCAATTTCGGACAGCGGCACAGACTCGATGCAAGCTTTCAGGCTCTGGTCAATGACTCAGTCTCGGAGTGAAAGTGCAACGTATCGTGGCGAAAAAAGAAGGACGAACCTACGCGCGCGTTGTGCGCACACACACACTTTGTACATATAAATACATACACATTCATCTTTACTGCTCCATTACTTCACCGATAATCATCGGCTCGTATTAAAATCTAACATAACGCGCGTTCCTCGTCAGTCGAGACTTTTACACGATTTGCGAATCGTTCGGTCCCGCGCGTTTACGCTAATAACGCGAGAGTCGATCGATCGCGACTAAACAATTTAATCGCTCTTCGTTATGCAATCTCTCGCTTTTTTTTGTTTGGATCAATTATATATATATTTTTTTTTTCACATACGTACGGCCGTGCATTAGCGCGCGATGCAACGAATTTTCGAGAAAGTCTCGAGAAAAAGCTGATATACGATTACACAAAGTATCGCTAATATTGCTTTTGCTGAACACTATCGTTATATGGATCCTTGGACGCGGGACTGGCTTTAAGTGTCGCGTTACACCACGGAACAACACGAGCGAACGCTGCGATTATTTTCACGCTTTTCTGACGTTTATTATATAGCGTTTCGGAGAAAGACGCGCGCACTTGTGCTATCACATAAATTTTGTTTATCTACTTCTCTCTTTCTCTCTCTCTTTCTCCTGTCATCTCGCTGTCTTTGAGCGAGAATTTGTTTTATGTTTGTTGCGTTTGTGTGCGGGTATGTACGTCGATTCGGTTCGATATTTTTGCGATCTCGCGCGCGAGAAATATATGCTTCGTCAATAATTTTTCAGCTCGCGGAGTGACACGCACATGTCTAATTGACAAATTACTAATTAAACACACAGACGCGCCACGTCGCACGCAAACGTGTCGCCGAAGCGAATGAATAAAAATCGTTCGCGATGCCCGAGTCGAAATTTAGCGTCTACATTGAACCTTAATTTTTGAAAAAAGGAAATTTCGGACGTATAGCAGCGTCAAAGTAGCATCTGCTTTTTTTCTTGCTCCTACTTTGAACCTATCAGAGCCTATTTTGAGCCTATCAGAGCCTGCAATGCGCAGCCTGATCTGAGAATTGAACCCTACTTTAAAACTTTAGCAGAAAAAAAAGAAATTTCGGACGTATAGCAGCGTCAAAGTAGGATCTACTTTTTCTCTTACTCCTACATAAAAAAAGAAAAATTGAGGTTCAATGTAGACGCTAAATTTCGACTCGGGTGATTCCGACGGAAATTTGTAAAATAAGCGAAATTTTGTGAGGCGGTAACTCACCCGCAAATCAGTCTCAGAGCGCGTCCCAATCGCGAATTTCCGATCTCAAAGCGCGACGCGATTCTCTCTAGGAACGGAATTGGAATTTTTGCACGTTCGTAGAGGACAAGGTCCTTCGCAGACGCGGAACGAGAGCCCATGTGGCTCATGTAACACACAGAATGTTTCGGATTTGTGAATGAGACGACGACGGGATTAAGCAGCACACGGGCTGCGTCTTTCATTGAAATCTAATTGGAATGCAGACCCAGAGACACACGGGACACACACACATGATCGGCGTTCGGGCGCGTCTTTCCCCGCGAGAAGCGTCGCTGCCAAGCCGGGCATTTTTGCACGCCCCGCGACGAGTCGCGGAATTCTGAGGGAGATTTACATTCATGAGAAGGATAACGAAGAGGCCATTCAAAAGAAGATTCTGAAACGTCGGAGGATGACAATTCGATTCGGAAAAAAACTAGACACGTGGAAAGAGAGAGAAAACGTGTGTGTATTTTTTTTTGTTTTTTTTCTGAAATAGAGTCGAGAGTTCTTGTGTTACGGTTTCGAAAACATTTCCCAACGGTGCGGTGTTCTATCGTAATCAATAACGTCTGGCGCAATCTGTTATGAGAGCTCGACGTGCCTGAGAAGGTTTATAGCTCATCACCTCCGTGAGGGAGGAATGCGAGGAAATCTACGCGAAGTTTAATTAACGCGCGATGTATCGACGGGTAGATCATCTTTCCTCGCGAAGAAAAAGAGTCATCTTGGTGACTCACAATGTGGAATTAATTCCGATCCGTTTTTTTTTTTTTTTGTTTTTTTACAATTAATCTCTCTCGGATAAAATACCAATGTCATGTTCTGAAAGCCAATTTGTTTCAAGATCGAGCAAACAACTTTCTTCCGACGTTGCGCGCGTTATTTTAACAGATACGTTACCTCGATCTGCAAAACGCCTCGTCTCTTAATTCACCGTGTGTTCCACATGTGCGTAACTATCGGTTCTCAAATTACCATGACGATAAGCATCGATCGAATCGATTATTATTGATTGATCATCTCGATGCAGCGCGCGCTGATCGATGAATTAAATGAGAGATCGGCTGTGATAAAACGCGTATTTGTTTTTTGTTTTTTTGTTCTTTTTTTCATTAGTTTCTACCTCGAAGTCGAAGACGATTTGAATATGGAAAAGATCTTCGGCATGTTGTTTCGTTTCCATTGATATTCCGCCAAGCGATTACGACCGTCATCGACGGGTTACAAAACGCGCGACTACATATCGGTTACAAAAGTGCGACTCGCCAAGTAAAACGAAAGGAAAAATAGACGCTAACGCTCGGATTTTTTGTCGGATTAATACCAGAAGACGTTTAAGACTTCGCGATACTACGTGCCGCGCGCGATTGTCGGGAACGTATTACTTCGTAATGTCGGACTGAGAGAAGAACAAGGGGAAAGTATGTGTGCGAAACGTGTCTGGCATTCGTGCGTTCGGGAAACGAATTTTGAAGTCAGCGCCGTTCTCGCCGCGTCGCCAAATGTATTCCACACTCCACGAACGGTTTCATTGAGGCGGCGGATTATGATTGCACATACTGTTATACACGCATGTAGTTCGAGTTTTCTCTTTTATTGACACTTAGCACACACGTGTAATTCTTTTTTGACTGAAAAAAAAAAAAAAAAAAAAAAAAGTTTCTTTTTGTCGTTGCGGAAATTGTATATCAAAAAACGTTTTGTACTGTCAGTAAAAAAAAAAAAAAAAAAAAAAAAAAAAGTTTCTTTTTGTCGTTGCGGAAATTGTATATCAAAAGACGTTTTGTACGGCCAGTTAAAAAAAAAAAAAAAAAATATATATATATAGTAACGGATCGGTTGAAATTTAATAAGAAAGTAGCAGAGCAAAAAAAAACGCTTATCTCAGAATTTTATCAGGAAAGACATACATACGTAAATTAATGCGTTATTTGTTTATCTGTTGCAGGACGAACGAGGACGGCTGATGCGACGCAATATCGTCAGATATGCCGTGCTCGCGTACGTCATTACATTACAGAGGATTTCGCTTCGCGTCAAGAGGCGTTTCCCGACTCTTCAGCATATAGTGGATGTAGGTCAGTGAGTTACATTTCTCAAATATATACATTTCAGTAATCCAACGAGTATTCTTTCGTTGGTTTTTGTATACAAATGATGTCAGTACGAAAATTAACGCAACTAAGCAACGTTATGTTTTTGATAATATCGTTGACGCGCAGTTGCGATAATTATTACCGTGTTTGAAGGGTCGATGCGAGCCTTATGTGCCGGATGCGCGAATAGAAATATATTACTTTACTTTAAACATGTGAATTAATACACGAGAAAATTTGAATTGAATTAAATTCGAAAATTTGCATTCGATGCTCGGTTTGTATCACGTATACATGAAATACTCGGAAATTAAAAAATTTATTGCAAAAAAACACGATGGCCAGAAGTTGAACTCGCTGATCTCTCGCATTCCGCGCAGGCGCATTCCCAATTCGGCTACCGAGGCACTAGGTGAAATTCTCGCAATGTTCGTATGTATGAAGTTAATATTAATAACGATGGCGAGAAAAAGAGAGAAAGATATATATATTATCTCTCATGGTTTTCTCAATTCTGTCGAAAACCTGTCCGTCTATTTTGCAGAACGACTAACGAATGCGACGAACAAAGATAAATGTTCCGTCTGCATTGAGTAGCGGTCGCTACTCTTCTCTTTGTGTCGGAGCTCATAGCTTTCTTATCACATTACATTTGTCGCCCGTTTCATTAGTCGGCGAACAAAGCCGCTCACCACGTCATCCATAAACATATAATATAAATGTAGCGTTTGCGCCATGACGGCGCAAGGACGGCGTTCTGTCTTTTTCGCCGCTCCTTGTATGCAACCTGCTGGCAATCGCAAGCGATATCGCGACTATTGAACGCACGGAATATATATATATATATATATATATGACGCTTCTGTCACGTGTAAGTCGCTGCGTAAAATAATGGATGGAACGAAGCCGTGTCGCGTTCCAGCAGTTAGCGCGTTAAGCGGCACTTAATGACGTACGTTAAACAAGACGCGCACATTTATCGCTGTCCAACCGCGGTCTGTGTTTGCGCAAATTTTGCACTGCAAACTAAATGGCTGAGAATTGACGGGAAATTAATCGTGAAGCTTATTAAGTGAGATAACTATCTCTGTAGATGTGTTTTTTTTCGAAATATATTTCAAGATTTTTCGAATTCTTGTAAATTCACGAATGATCGTTGGAGACTTGCCAATTAATATTAATATTAATTATTTTTAAATATTAACATTAATTTCTTGCTAATTAATTTGTTTTTCCATGCGCACAGATGTAATCGGAGCGATAAGTAAATAAGCAAATGCGGCAGAAAAAATGCATTTTGAAAAAGATTCTTTAAATTTAATAATTGTTGCCAAGTACACAAGATGTTTTTCTTATCTCAATATCGCGCTATGTATTATTCTTTAATACTTCCTTCAATTTATCGTCTTTAAATAGCACGTCAATATTTATTTTTTCACCATCCTCTGCCGGAGCGGATGTTACTCCGCGCCAGAAATAGCTCGCATTTTTTGCGAGACGAGAATCTCGCGCAAATGTTCCATGAACATGAGAGGCTAGTGTCCGTCTTTCCGATCGAAGAATAAGCTGTAGAATCTACGATAAGAACCGACTCTTCCATGAAAATGACTGACTCGGCGACGGCGTCTCGAAAAAAAAAAAAAAAAAAAAAACGCGAAACTCGCTCTCGTGAGAAACGAACGGGATGATTGAATTAAATTCGTAACTTATTATGAAAATAACATCAGTCTAGTGACAGCGGCACGTTCCTGTGCGATTTTTTGTGAATAATTCATACGTGAGAAATGCATCGCGTTTCCATAAATAAGCCAATGCCGGTTTTGTTTTTTTTTTCTAATGAAGAAAAAGAAATTAATCGTTGAATGTAAAATTAAAAAACAAAAAACAGAATGTCAGTAATTCTTACTGCACGTGCATTAGAAATGTAACAATTCACGTGCGTTGTGCAAGCGCGCGGAGAACATTACAATTCTTTTACACACATATCGCGAAATTACGACAAGAAGTTTTCTTTTCTTTGTTTTTTGTTTTTGCTCGACGCAAAAACCTGCGACGTACGTCAAGTCTTGAGAGACAAACCAGTTTGAGCAAAGAGAGAAGGTCGTGTTGTGAGGCTACATGTATTGTATTTGAGATCCAAGAACAATCACGACGGAAGCGTAGAATGGATTTTAATTAACCGCTTGTTTTTATTTCGCTGTGTGTATTAAATCAAGATGTGGCACACAAGCGAAGCTGCGTTGCGGACAAACGCGGACAACGTTATTACATCCGGTACGGAAAAGCGAAATCGCGAATAATAAATTTTGCAGAACTAATCGCACTTAGCAAGAGATTTCTGCCAAGTCTTTTCCCAAGTGAACATTCCGCAGCGAAATTGCAACGGACGTTCATTCGAAACGATTTCATGCACGCGCGTGCACGGCGAATCGTCAATGGTCGTTGACATCGATGAAGTAGAATTGCGAGAGAACCCCGGAATAAATTCCTACGTAGACTAACGACTCGCGTACGTGCGTATATATCGTTAAGAGAATCATGTAAAGCTCAAAGTTTCTAAGAAAACAAAACACATATTCTGTACATACCTCAAAGACCTTTCTCTCTTCTGAAACAAATATTGACAAAAAAAAAAATCAATGAATGTTGAACAAAATAAATTTTTCAAAATAATTTTCCAATTTCGCAAATGTCTATGCAGATATGTTTTCAACAAATAGAGAAAATATTGAATATTTATATTCCATCTTCGAAGAATGTAAATATGAAATCATTTCAAAGAATCTTATAAAGTTGCCTTTGACAAGAAAGAAACGAGAGGATATCATATTTCTGTGAAAAAACAAAAAAAAAACAAAAAAAAACAAAAGTCATTTCATCGCGTGCACGCGAAATTATATCGCGCGAGATTACAGCGCGACACGAGCAGATCTCGAAATGTCTATTCTGCTCTGAAAGTAATCGAAATTATCCGCGTGTACCAATTCCGGACGAATTACGATCTGGAAATTGTCAGGCGCCACGGCGCGAGTCAGTTCGCTCGCGCGCGTCCGTCACGCCGCCGGGCAATTTTCACGTGCGTCCGGGTAATTTTCAACGAGCGTGCCGAGAGAGAAGACCGCGCTTAGAAACGCGGAGCGCCGGCGCCTGCGTTCTCCTCTCTCGTTCTTTTCCTCGTTTTGCGACATTGGCCGCGGCGCAGCATCCAATCGTTTTCCACTCGCTCGCGAGCGCGAGCAGACGCTTTGCGAGCTTCTTTCCCACCCTGATGCCCTCTCCCTCATCATCATCATCATCATCATCATCATCCTGTTCTCGTTCTTGCGTGCCGCTTCTTCCTTTCCCGTGTGTGCATACAGAAATAACCCGTCGAACGATTACGGGCCGATGACGTGCGCCGCCCGGCGATAAGATAATCACCGGTCGTGTCTTCGATTTCCTCGAGAGGTCTTCCTCGAGTTTTCTGCCGATTTTTTTTTTTTTTTTTTTNTTTCTTTCGTTTCTCAGAGCGAATATCCCCTCGCAGACAATTATATCCATCTGATTTTCACCGTTAACGTTTCTTCTTTTCTCTCGGGGTGCCGATATATTATTCTACCTACAATTAATCGTTCGCGTTTCGAGAGCAGATGAATTCTTCTGTTACACGAGTTTTTCGAGATATTAATGTCACGCCACGCTTAAGCGAGCGCTTTAAACACACCTGCTGTCAGATTTAGATCGCGACTAGATAAAATTGCGATTTTTTTTGTTTTTTGTTTTTAATCAACGGAACGGTCCGTTCATTTCAATCCGTTCGAGACGAGGCAAGGTACCAGTCGGCTTCATTCGGAACGATCGTCTTGTTGCTCTCGTCTGTCGTACGCGGGAGATGATGCCGCGGGCGATCCGCGGAGGATCGTTGCAGTTAGACCGCGATATTAGATGTTAAATATAGCCGGGGTAATGAGAGCCATAATCTAGCCGTGGTTGCAGGTGGTAATCGGCTAGACTTGTCAGTATCACGCTGGCGATACGTGCAATCGTCCTGCACCTCCACCGGAGTCACGGATGTTTCAAGAATCGCTCTGCTAGCCATCATTATCATTATCGTCATGATCGTCATCATCATCATCATCATCATCATCATTATCATCATCGGTGGCGTCCTCATGCTGGAGTCGCGTTGGCGAGAGCAGAGCAAGAAACTTGAGGATCCGTTTCTTCCTTTCTTTTTCTTCTCCTTTCCCCTTTTTCCTCCTCCTCATCCTCCTCCTCCTCTTCCTCCGGAGGTGGAAGCTCGCCGGACGACCGTAATATGCCAACGTGCGCGCAGCACGCGCTACCTATATTTAGCACAAATTATTGTCCCAGGCAGAATTTCTCCTCGATTATGCCAAACGATCGATCCACTGCGGCGCGGGTCGCAAAAAAATAATTACGCCCGGATACGACGGCGCTCACTATTCTGTCAGACAGATAAAAGCTGCCGAGTTTGTAATGGCAATCCCGATTGGGATTTCAGGGGAGAATTTCACGGCAGTCACACGGCGGCGATAGGAAACGACGGAAACACTCCGCGATATTAATTAGTCGCGCCGTTCATTACGCGCGGCGAAACTGGCGCGCGTGAGTGATTTTTTTTTCTCACACAGCGGGTGTGTATTTTGCGCGAGAGATGATTTAAACTCGAAAAAAAAAAAAAAATAAATAAAACCAATATCAAAACCTCGCAATTTTTTTTCTTTAACTTTCTGTGAGAATAACGGATTCCTCTTATTCGTGGAACTAGCTACGACGTTCTCTCGAGAAACAGTTATAGCACGCGACCACACTGGGTCACGTGTCCGACGATGTTTTCAAAAGAGCGATAAAACCCGTGAACTTTGTCTCGACGGTAACAGAGTTCGGTAGAGATCGGCCTTGACGAAGGTCGGACCCTGACCGTGCTCGCCTAAATGAGGAAAACGAGAGAAACGCGCCGAACTCCCGGAATAAGATAT